AAGCAGGGTGATTTTCTTCATGAGGTGGATCCATTGAGAAATCTCAGCCACATTTTGAGTGGATTTTGAAAATACCAAAAATGAATATGTGAAAAATCGAGCCAATTCGAAATTGGAAAATCATTTCTGCAAGGTATCTCAATTGATCTAGAGAGTTTACCCTCTGGTAAACTGTCACATAGCGAACTGGAAAGATCCACCATTTTATAGCTGGGAAAATCCACTATTTCTATGGTGATTTAATGGTGATTAATGGTGATTTCCCGTTAAAAATGGTCATTTCCAGTAGCTATTTTGACATAACCAGAGGGTAGCCGCGCTGATGATGTTGACGCCACCGGGCCACCGAGGAACGGAAGGCGAGGACGCTGGGGGGTACTGAACTAAGCCCTTTATAGAACGTTAGTATGGGGTAATGATAATTAATCATGGTTAAAAATGGTTAATAATGACTGGTTGGTGGTTTGGAACATGAATTTTATGACTTTCCATTCAGTTAGGAATAGTTTATCCCCAACTGACGAACTCCATCATTTTTCAGAGGGGTAGGTCAACCACCAACCAGAACGTATATGAATGTTCTCATAGTTAAATAACCAGTTATAACTGGCCATAACTGCAGAAACACTCTTTTGTCGCCATCTTTTGGGGGATGCGGTTTATTGGTTGGGCATTCATCAGCAACCACGGCAACAATGGCGAAGTCGAATTCCCAGCAGCCGGATTGCGTTGTTTGCCAATGTTCAGCATACATTTTCACAAAACCAGCCTTTGAGTTATAAGTTGGCTCATGTTTACCCATCATCACCCGTCAAAAATTCCACACATATGCAACTTGGCAAAACCTAGTGAGCCTAGTTATTCTGAATCAACTGACCTACCGTTTTGTGGATCAAAAAGATTGGTTTAATTCCAAAAATAGATATTTCCTAGGCAAACGTTGACTTTTAGCAAGACTTGAAAACCGGAGGGTTGCTGCCGCCCTTTAATTTTTGGCATATAGCCCGCCGAAAGTTTCGATATTCTTTGTTGATTTGGGGTTATACTCCTTCTTGTGAAGGGGATTCCGCACGAGTTGGACAAGTAAAATCCTGAAATAGCGCTGTAGGTATGCATTGAATCTTTGCCAGTTACGATGTTACACTTGTGGAGGGCTTCTGTGCGAGCACAGCACGTGATGGAGCACCCACTGCAACCAAACATTTGATTGGTCTGGTGGAATTTCAGTAGGCAGAAAGGGGGCTGTGGCAATACTTTGGCACTCGCTTTTGGCATCCTTTCAAACTGTTCTGGTACTCTTTCCGCTTGTATTTTTGCAAAGACTTTGCCAACAACAAGATGATGAAACCGGTGGATAAGGTTATTGGGCGTGATGGCAGCAAAGCGATCCTGCAGAATTCTGGTCACAACTTACACAGAGATCTCTGAGGAATTCATCTGAATCGAGCGACTGTGGTTATGGCAATTTGCTGGCAGCGATCCAAACTGCGAATCAAGTTGAACGAACTGGGGACTTCAGAGTTTGTAGCTGTCAACGAACTGTTGCCACAGAAAGAAAATCGAGGCTCATGATTCATGGTACCGTAACCCCAGTTTGATCTTGGGATATTCTGACTGGAAGCAGGGCGCTGCCTCTTCGGTATGTGTGTTTATCCTCGGGGAGTTGCCTAAAGTTCATTGATCGCCGGAAGCAGCAAATAGCCAAAACCAGATCATAAATGATGCCGTATTTAGATGTATTTAGGAAACATGTTGGCCAGTGATGGCCAGTGCCAAAACCAGGTATTGTATATATATATATATTCTGGTTGGAGGTTTGGAACATTTTTTATGTTCCACAATATATGGGATAATCCTTCCCATTGACTACTATTTTTCAAGATGGTTAAAACCACCAAACTGTTTATTGTTTTTTTGGGGGAATTCACAGCAAGATTTCTATCAGGAATCAACCCGAAGATTGCTTGAAAATGCTGAGACAACTGGGGTTGAACAGGTGAATATTTAATGTATATATATATATATACAGTATATATCTGGATAAATTATAACGACCTCACTGTTCTCCCTCACTGGAAAATCATGGTTAATAAGGGAAATCATACCCAAATGGCCTTAATTCAGATTAGTGAAATACTTTAACTTACCCAGATATATACAGATATATCAACACTTAATGTGTGAAAGTAAACCCATTTATACAGTAGATAGTTGGTCATAAGTTGACTTCCATTCCCAGTATATCCCACAAAAAATCTTAGATATCTATAGATATTTTACAATTATATCACCATGTGTCTTTGTTGGTTTAGCTATAACATATTACAACATAGTGATTTTGTCCACTTGGCGAACTCTTCGTTGACGTTACCGCCAGGGGTAGGTCCTGGTTGTTCGTTACCGCCAGGCGTTGGGCGGAGGTGAACCAAGGAGCAACCAACTTGATGCTGCCTCTCGGTTCAGTGCTGGGGAGTTGAGCATGAATTTTATGAAGAGTTTATAAGCGATTGTTGCTCTAAAAATGGTCAAACATACTGGTATTTACACTGTTTTATGACAAAAGTAGGATCCAAATAGTACATCTCCCCATCATCCCATATGCTCCATGTATGGAATATTTAGCAACATTTACCCCATAAACGAGCCAAATGTAGGTAAATATACTATACATGGAGCATCTGGGAAGCATCAAACAGAACTGGAAGCCATGGCCCAGTCGAAAGTTCGTTGATTTACCCAGCGACAAAAACTCCTGGATCTTTCCAGTTCGTTTTTTGTTAGCCCGTTTACCAGAGGCATCATTCACAATCATTTTATGCGCATCTACCATTCACCAACCATGACTAGGAGGGCCAGGATCATTTTACGTCCAGAAAGCAAGCAGAAAATTTACCCAACTTAATTACTGGCGAACTGGAAAATGGCCCAGTCGAAATAGTTGATTTACCCAGCTATATAATGGTGGATCTTTCCAGTTCGCGAACCCTTAGTTTACCAGAGGGTAATACCCTGGACTGGATTTATACGAACATATATATATATATATGTATATATATATATATACATGTATAATTATACACATATGGGTGCTTCATGGTGTTTATATATTTATTATTATTATTTTTATTATTATTATTATCTATCTGCATAATTTATGGGGTTTTCTTGGTTGTTAAGCTGTTTTACCCATGTTGAATCTTAGTTGGAGGGATGATAACCATGAAAACCATTGATTCTTGCTTCAAATGCGCACTTTGACCCGCAGGGTGTGCTCACCCACTTTGACTGTTGATTGGCTATTATAGGGGGATCGAATCACAGTCTTTGACCATTAATCAATAGTGATATGTATATATATATATAGAGAGAGAGAGAGTATTTTCCACTATTAAATAGATAGAAGCGTGAGTTACCACTATTTTAGTAGTTTGTTTCTATTCTATCTTTTGCGGGTTAATATGTATATATATATATGACTTGCAAATGATAATTGATTAACTATTCCAGGGGGGTTTTCCTACTACCTTGTATACTTGGGATTGTCTTTATCTTTGGGAAGGCAGGCTTAGTTGCTCAGTCTGAAATCGCTTGAAACCTGCCCACAATCCGAAATCGAGAACAATTTGGATTCCAAGCCTGTATTCCATATGCTCCATGGTGCTGGAATATTTACCAGCATTTGCCCAACATAAATCGCCCAGTTATAATATGTAGGTAAATATACCAGCACCATGGAGCATATGGGGTATTGGAAGATGATGTGAAATTTTGGATGGAGCTCTACCGTGCCACGAGTGAGATAGCCTCCCGGAAGATTTGACTGGTGTTGTCTCCTTGTATCATGTCAAACTCCCATGTTTGAATTCTATGTTAGCTTGTTATGGGTGTTTATCAAATCAGTTTGGAGGTAGGGGCTGGGTCTTGGATGACGTTATAAAGACGCATGAAGATTAGATTGCATGAACATAAGTCAACCAATACAAAACGGGAATACATTGCAAAACTAATTGCAATGGTCCAATGATACAATCAGATCTTCTTTAATATGAGTGTAACATGTGCATTACCCTCTGGTAATTCAACATAGCTATGGAAAATTGCACATATTATGTGTATACATACATACATACATACATACATACATACATACATTGTTTTTGATTTAGCTATTATTAATGGTGATTTTCCACAGCTATGTGAGTTCAGCGGAGGGTATATGAATTGTTATCAACTCAATTCAAAGTGCCAGAAGTGCCAGATTCCTGAGAGAAACTATTTGACAATCAGAAGTGGATTCCATTTATGTTTGGCTCTGAGAGTCTGGGGAATTGGGCATTTTGGCACCATGGATCCCATCATATCCCATCAATATACCCCAGTCACGTATGCATTTTTCTACCAGCACCATGGATGCTATGGGTTTGGATTTTGCGGATTTTGCACATGCAAAAGTTCATGCAAAAGTTCCATTATAAAGGACTCAGATGATTCAGAACATCACCAAGGAAAATGCTGAAGTCAAATGCTGCCGAGCGTTTGAGCGCCAGATGCTTGGACCAATGGTTTTCATTTAACCGTATGGACCATCATGGATCATAGAACCGTGTAGCTCTGAGCCTGGATCATAGAACCGTGGGATGAATGAAATGGTTTATATATGGGATTGAATATGGGACTGATAATAGGTAGTATATGGGACATTTCATGGAATATGATACAAATGTTGGGATGTATGCTTTCCCATGTTTGAATTCCATGTTAGCTTGTCATGTTCGGGAAGCTGAATTGAAAGCGTCCTAAAGAATAGGAGATGTAGACTATTTTAGTATTGGAACAACCACGTGCTTGGCTTTGGATGGTTCAGGGTACTGTACGCACCATTTTTGGAATCCCCAAATGACCAGAAATAAGATATATATATTTTTTTTTCCCTTCGGCCCACTGCTGCATCACGCCGCGGCCTTGCAAGGTTCTGTTTGAATTCACCAAGGTCCGAAGCTTCATCCGGCATAATCAGCTCCCATGTGGCTGCTGTACGCTGTCACAGTAAGTGAACGCCACAGAGCTTTGTCAGCTTCGGATGGTTCGACCCCGGTCGTCGCACCAATAGAATCTAGTCTGGTGCGGAAAGCATCGGCTAGTGCTCCGCACATAGCTGGCGGATATTCTTTGAGATATCCGGTACGCCAAAATCCGTCCTCAGTCAGACCAATTGCCTGTCCTCTCGGGTTCTCAGACCGCGTCATCCATGCTTGAAGATGGAGCGGCAGTCTGGGCAGGTTGATCGTGAGGAGCTCAGTCGGTTTCGCTGAAGGAGCACCAAAGAGTCCTTGGCATAGACGATGTCGTTGGACACCTGGTGCTTGAAGAAGAGCAAGCATTGCCGGCAGCTTCCAGATCGAAGCTGCCTGTGGTTCTTCCGGTTCGGCGGGATGTTCGACCACCCCTGAACCACCAGTGCAGATCACTTTCCCAGCCATGAGTAGCGTAAATGTAAGCAGCTCATTGCCAGTGATGACCTGTTGCACCTCTTTCAAAGCCAGACATGGCAAGCCCCAAAGGTGGTCCTCGGTCCGCAGGATTCGAGGACCTCGACTGTGGCGGGCCTGCTTGAGTTGTTGGCCTCTCGCTTTAGACCAGGTTTCGCAGGGCGGGCCTGCAAGAAAGGCTGCAATGTAGCCGTCGGTGGCCGCCCTCAACCAGTAGTCTCTTGTACCAGGAGCCATCGCGTCCCCCCAAACGCGGTCAACCACCACGTCCATGCTGACAACGTGGAGCACATAGTTGTCCGGAGGGGTCATGCGATCCAAAAAGAATTGCACGTCTCCCACTCGGCGTCTTCCCGAAAACATGTGGAGCAACACTCGGTGTTTCCCAAACGCTGGCGGGATGTGAGTACGCTGGGGCCAAGATGTGCCCGCAACGTCTCTGCTTTCTTGCTCCAGGTCAGAAAGACTTTCATGTTGATGTGTGGCTACGGCGCACAGATTCCACTTCTCTGGCTGAAGCAAGCCTTCGAGTTTTGTGCGGGCTCGCAACGCTGTGGTTTGCCATCTGTGCACATCCTCATCCTCCAGGTTATCCATGAAGTAGCGGAGAGTGCTTGTCCACGTAGTCCAGGATAATGGTCTCTGCTGAGCCTCTTGTTCAAAGACGCTCATTGCCTCATTCAGGTCGTTGGCGTCTAAGAAGGTTTCCATGAAGAAGAGGTGGAGGTCATTATCCACTTCTGTCTCCTCTCTCATTCTCGGCTCTGGAAGCTGAGGTCCTTCCGTCTGGAGCGGTGGCAACATGCGATCATGTACACGACATAGTACTTGGTCTTCTTGCGAACCTGCTCCTGGCCCTGGTGGGCAAACGTAGTTTCTACTCAGCAAGGTCTGACGGCATGAGTTGACATAGTACAAGTGTGCCATGAGCTTTTGCATAGTGTGATATTCCTTGAGGCAGGACGGACACGCGGTGGAGTCGCTCAGAAATCTGCGCTTGGCCACGTGCTGATGCGCCCGGAACATGTGTGCTGCTTCACCCGCTTTGTTTCGGCACTGCTTCTGGCATTGAAGACATCCGTAGACGGGTATGTCCCGAGGGGGGTTCCAGTTGTCATGCGGCTCGTAGTCGTAGATCTTGCGAAGAATGATCGTCATCTGCTCATAAAACTGATGCGTCAGCCACACTTTGCGTCGTTGGGCAATGGCATGCTCACACGCGCGACGGACAAGCCGTCTCCAGTATGAGCGGTGATGGACAATCAGTTCCTTCCATGCACTCCAATTGGTGCGGGGGTCCGGCATCGTGGAGCTGTGCCAAATGTTGTCCCAGACCCAGACCATGTCCTCCTCCACCAGCGAAGTCCATGCCATGTCCTTTGCCAGGAGTCCCCATTCACTGCGTTCACCGCAATGAAATAGTGTAGCAACATATCTGAGCCTCGCTCTCCTGACAAGCTCAATTGGACTGGGCAGACAAACCTGGGACAGGATGGCATCATCAGCCAAATGCTGATCAGGCTGCACCCGAAGGAGTCTGCGGTACAGCTTAATCACAGCTGCATTGAAAAGCGCTACCGTGGCATTCTCCGTCACCACCCATGTTTCTGCCCCGTACAAAAGCTTACTCAGAACTAGAGATTCAAATAGCTGAGTGCGCTTGGCTAAGGGCAAGCTCCAATTGCGGAAGATCAACTTGCTGTGGTGATTGAAGGCCGCGCAGGCTATGCCAATGCGTCTTTTGATCTCGTCTTTCTGGTCAGTCGAGTGATGAAGGAGTCCTCCCAAATGACTGTAGTTGGTAGTGACCGGTACATGGTGCATCCCGTACTCAGACACCACAGCGAGACTTCCTGACGCATCAGGTCCATAGAAGAGCTTCTTGTAGCGTCGTGAGCCTGGTCCTCTGAAGGAGAAAAGGGCTTCTGTCTTGTTCTTGCACAGGTTGGGAGTCATGCAGTGCTCGATGCAAAGCTCCAAAAGCTTACCTGTCATCACGCCAGTCTTGCGGACAACCTCAGCGGATGTATCTGCTTCTATGCATACGGCCAAATCATCCATCCATGTTGGCCCTATGAACTCCTCGTTGCCATCAATGTTCTGTGAAGAATCGGAGAAGAACTGCAGGTGCGGCAAGTGGGGGAAGGAGCTAAGGAGCCCGTTGTCACGCATGAAATGCTGTAGTTTTCTAAGCACCACAGCCCAAACATAACTGAAGACAACATCGGCAAATGGATCTCCTGGCCGCGAGCCATACTTCGTCTGCACTACATCCTCCTGTTGTCTCATCCAGAAATGTGTTTGACGATGGACAGCTTTGAGGCACCTGCTTTCCATTTCTGACAGTTCCGCCTGTTCCAAAGCGCTGGGACCCGCAAGAATAACGCGTAGCATGTCGACTGCATCCTCCGGCATGTTCAGCTTGTGCATCAGCTTGGCGAGATCCTCGTCAGTCACAGAGTCCTTCATGCATATGGGTCTGAAGATGCGGTAGAAGGCTTCCTTCAGATCGAGGAACACAATCGCACAAGAACGTCCACCTGCTTTGGCTTGTCGCATATATGCCCGGGCTAAGTGAACCCCGTATGTGACGGGCATAGCCCTTCTTCCTCCCAACTGTTGCGCTTGCAGAAACTTTTCAAACACACTTGCTTGTTGGGATCGCAGCGCTCGATGGATGGATTTGCCAAAGTGGCTGGAGATCAACAAAGACCTGAAAGAAGCACAGGATGTTTTTGCACCTTTGCCTTTGTAGGCTTGTACAAGAAGACCTCCCTTGTACATGAGGGGCTCCTGTCCCAGCAAAAGCAGCTTCCACAAGATAGCAATGTTGGCACGTGCACATTTAGTCGGAGCATAGTGGCACACCTCTCCTGGGATTCCATCCGGCCCGACCGCCTTGTTGCACGCCACACGCCTGAAGGCCAGCTCCAAGTCTACTAAAGTCGGCATATGTCGGACATCAGTCATGATCTCTGTGGGTTGCATTGCGACCATTGAGGAAATCCAGTCTTCTCGTAGTTCAGCTTTTGATTGTCTTTGTCCACCTTCCATACTGGCAAAGAAGGTGATCCAAGCCTCCAAAGCTTCAGTAGGTGAACGGCATAGTACATTGTCCTTGTTGTAGATCATGGGTATGGTCTTCTGCTTGGCCTTTTTGGGGTTGGTCGGCCCAGTGAAGTCTCTCATAAGATGGAGAATACCACTGGCTGACGTGTGCTCATTAACTGTCGAAAGACGTTGCTGCATCAGATTGTGCTTGGCCAAAGTGATCTTTGTTCTAACTCGTTTTCTGTATGAGACATACCCTGCCATGTTGTGGAGCAGGCCAGTGCGCAAGGTGCTGCCATACTGAAACTCCTCAAAGGCGGTCAATGAACTACTTCTGCTGCTCCAGGCTTTGAAAACGCTGGCTAAACATTCTCTGCTCAAAAAGGCACGGGTTTGCTTGAGCTTTCTGCGAAATTGCAACAAACATCGGCGGTCATCCCAAATGTCATCTGTGAGATATGGCTTTTTGGGCATGCTCCGCTTCTGTGTTGAAATTGCATGGAGTGCAGACTGGACTTGTTGTCGGATGCTTTTCTCATGTTGTTCAATATCTGTCGACCATTCCGGTATGATCAGCGAGTCCAGTGCCGTCCGCATGCGATCAGGAATCTCAGCCGCAGACCATTCAACACTTGGCTGGGACCTTGTAGGAGTTCGGCATTCTCTCAACTCTTGCCATCGGAGTTCCAGACCAACTGCATGATGATCATCTCTGCTTGTTGCAAGGTCTAAATCATGAAGAACCTGCGACCACGTACATGAAGATAACCATGTAGAAGGCACAGCAACATAGTCAATGCAGTGTGTGGTCGCACCGTCGATTGCTGTCCATGTGTCACGTTCTCCCTGATGGATGCATGTAGTTGAAGGCAGACTCATGTCAAATGCTCGCAGACATGCCCTCCACAAATCTGTGTTTTTCGATGTACGGAGACCTTGCTGGAACACGGCCTGGTTGTCAGATGTGCCCGGCTCAGCATTGGCATCTATCATCCAGAAGCATGGTCGTTGATCAAGGTGTCCTCGTAAGATCTCAGTGGTGAATGCCCACCATTGACTGCGTTCTTCTTTTGGTCGTCCGGAGTGAGGCCCGTGTCCTACAAAAAACCAGCAATTGATGTACTTGTTCTCCGCCCGAACCAGCAGCCTTCTTGGATCTCGGTGTATCACCTGGAAGTCTGAGGCTGCGAAGTAGGCTTTCCCTCCAATGGTTGTGGTCGCAATCGGCTGTTGGAGATTCACCCACAGTTCAACTCCGCATTGCTTCTCTGCATGACCACCACTGATACGCAGTATCTTGTATGAAGTCGTGACTCCCTCATCCGATCTGCTTTCTTGGACTCCCAAAACATGAAGACCAAAAGACTGCATCTGTGCATATAAGTAATGCAATTTTCCGGAGTGTCCTTGTGGGCCTCGTGACAGAGACAACACATTTGCAGATGCCATGCTCAAAGTGCAGTCAAAAACCTCTGTGTGTCCTTGTCCATCATGTCCTTCTTCACATGGGTGGGAGGACGGCAACTTCGGCAGCTCGACTGCAAGATGTCCATCTCGCCATGGGGGTAGTCCACTCTCACTGGCGAAGCACAACCATAGATGTGGAAAAATGTGCTGCCACTTTTGTAGATCAAGGTCAGCTCGGCGATGAAGAAAGCTTTGCTGTCCTTCTCTTTTGGCGGCTATGTCCACAAACTCGTTGTACGGATCGCCTGCATGCGCAGTGACATGGTGAAGGCGAAGATGGCCTTGTGGTAATCCATGTTCCAGTGCTTGGAAAATGCCCCTTAACATTCTGTATGAAGGGTCTGCATCGCCCGTGCCTGCTAAACCGAACGCTTGTCGTCCACATGTCAGTGAGTCACAGCAAAATATGGTTGGGGTGATACTATCTTGTGTGAGCCTCCAAATCCCCGACCAAATCAGCGCGTCACGCTCAGCGACTTCTGCCCCAATCCTCGTTGCATGAGTGTAACAGGAGCCATTGGCGTCATACCTCACTGGGTGTGTGCACCAACCAATGGGTTCGACCAAAGATTGACCATCTTGTAGGAACTTCTCACCGAGGACAAGCATGGCCCATGTATCAGGTACACCTAGCTCATCGACCCGTTCTGGGGCAATCCGACGTAGTGTGGATTGCGAGGAACCATCGGTGTAAATGAGCCATCGGTCATACTTCTGCTGCGTGCGCGTGACATTCACCTTCTCCATGACAAAGTCAGGAAGATCAATGCCCTCAAAACTGGTCTGAAGAAAATGCGCACCAGCATCAACAAGCTCCTGGACATCTTGATCATTGAAACCTGTGGTGATGCGTTGTGTGGAGACCTCATTGTGCCTGGTCAGTGGAAAAAGCTTTCGTTCTTGCCACTCATCAACTGTGCGGTCCGGCCATGCGGTACGTGATCGCATGGGTCGTGGCGGGGCTGCAAAAGTGGGAACAACGTTGCGAAAGCGAATCTGTCGCAGTCCGCACGGAAGTGATACATCTGAGATGATCACTGCTCGCGGATAATCCATCTGATCCAGTAAGCGTAGAATTCCACGATGATCCAGCTCTTCATGATGTGCATGTAGAAAAATTCCATGGTCATCTGATGTGTCATCATTGGCAAACATGAAGAAGTGTCTGTTCGACTCAAAAGTGTGGTCGACTGGCAAGCATAGAAAACTCTCATGCAGTCCAAACTGGATGACTTGGCAGTGAAGTCCCCAATGTCGTAGCTCGGCCACCAAATCTTCTGCTGTATAATCAATTTTCACTTCCACATAGTGCGGGACTTGGAGTTCATCTGCACCAGAGAGCAGACGTACGGCCGTCAGCCGCGTCTCATCTCCATTCATGTCGGTGTCAGGATGGCTCAACGGTGGAGCTAGCAGCTCGGCTAAATGCAGTGTTCGAGTCTCGGATGGCCGACAGTCATGCGCCACCAATCTGTCAGTTAGGCGCTCATCCCTGACTCTGGCGTGACTATGACGCTGTGTAGAAGCAATCTGCAAAAGATTGGCTTCATCTTCTGATTCTTGCATTTGCACTGGCTCCAATCCTTGGACGATAACCAATAATGGTCGAAGACGTAGAATGATGCTGTAACCACTTCGGCCCTGGAAAACTCTGTCCATTTGGATTGGTCGATTGCCAATCCATACCTCACAATCCCATTGTGCTCCGTCTCCTCTGCAGAATGGGGCCATCTGCGTGGCAAGCAGAATGTTTTCAGGCCATATGTGTTCATGTGTGGTGACAGCCATGCGCCAGTAATTGTCATTGTCCCGTCTAGTACTTTCCTCCCGGGTGACCAAGTTGGTGACCCAGCTTGGATTGGGGTGCTGAATGACAATCACATGGATCTCCGCATCCGCGGTGTTGCATGGAGGTTGGGGCTCGACAACATGGAATTCATGTTCAGCATTGACATCCCAAAGGTCATGCCATCTTCTCTGAATTTGATCTTCCCAGTTGGCATAGTCCTTGAAAAGTTGTTGTCGACGCTCCTCGAAACCATGTGGCTGCCCCCATCGGTGATCCACAAACCACGTCGCCAACGTCGTGGACTTGTCCTCATCCTCCCACGCAAAGGCGACTGCATCCCATCTCTCCCATAGATCCGCCATGAATTCTGAGAGAGTACGCAGATCCGGTGTTGATGGATCGAATGCTGGTGCATCTGGATTGAATTGAAAACCTGGGCAATGATGTCCGGTTACAGCTTGTGAAGCTCCGGTCGAAGCTGGTGAAATGGAGGGGCCAGGAGGACCTGATGATTGCATCAATGATGTGACATCACTGCTTTGGCCAATGGTTGGGCTGCCAATGCTCGTGACCACACTGTCGCCATCTTGCAACCTGGCCAATTCTTCACCTGCAAGCATCACTCCTCCATAAGTGCAGGTGCATTCTCTCCTATCACACCATCGCTGAATGCCCAGTATGTCCAGAATTTCCTGCTTCGTCGCGAACTCCTCAGCGAGAGCTGCAAAGTGCCATACACGACGATGGATAGGATGTTCAAATAGTCCAGAAACCAGAACCGGTACACCGGGTCCTTGACCTTGAACCAGAATCAAGTGCCCAATGTGTTGTGGATTGTCCGTCTCTGGAGGGTTCGGATGCACAAAGATGACCCTGGCCGGGGCAAATGGGTCCATTGCATCACGCCAGAGATCACAGAGTTCTGGGAACCAAAATTGTCGTGCCTCATCCAAGCGAAGAGTGCGCGACTCTGAGTTCCTTGTGTATCTTTGATAATGGAGATACCAGGTTTTCCAGTAAATGACTGGACCTTCATCTTCATGTTCCACTTCCGCACATTGACGAAATGCTGCTCTTGCAGGCACCATCCATGCTCTGGCATCCATTTGTGGGATGTGTGCAGGCCTAGTCACACCTGTGCCTGAGTCAGTTCTCGTACTGGCCAAACTTGGAAAAGCGGAACTGTGTTGGACAATATGCCAAGTACCGGTCTGGAAAAATGACGCTCCGTCTCCAGAATCAGTAGTATCTCCATGCTTCGACTTCTTCAATGGTCTACTGCACTGTGTAGCAGATTGTACCTTGACCTCTTGCTCGTCATTGCGCAGCCTTACCTCAAGTCTCAAATATGCACCATGAGCAAGTTCACGCGGAGCTGCATCCTCTTTTGCCCACAGTGCATTGTTGAGATGTAGTGTGCACCGATCTGCCTCAATGACGCAAGGGTCTGCCAAGTTCAGTTCCTGAAGGACTCCAGTTCTACTGAGATGCCTCGGGAAAACTTGAACTCGTCTATGATATGTGGGAGATCCTTGAAGTTGACCAGCAAAAGTGAGATCTACAATGACCAGCTTTGCCGGCGATCCACCTTCAATGTCTCCAACCCGTTGAATGATGATGGATTCTTCTGCTTCATGTTGATCGACTAGCGGCGCCTGAACATAATGAAAACCAACAGCAAGATCACGATGGAGTCCAACCGACTGTAACGCGTCAAAGAGGATGACATTGTAGGTTGTCCATCTCACAAAACAGTGATGAGCAGGCTGATGAAGTTGGTGGATCCAAAGTCCTTGTAAAGCTTCCTCATCAAAACTGCTGGAAGATTCTTGATGTGGTTCAGATTCTCCTCCTTCTTGCTCATTCTCATTCTCAATTGGTTCTTCATCAAGAGTTTCAGCCTGGTCAATAGTTTCAGAACTCAAGGCTGGCAAGGCGCTCTCAATCTCGTTGTTCGTTTCCGTCTGCATATCCTGAAAAATAACCACAAATGTGTGTCCATTTGCCATCCAATGAGTTGGAACTGTCCCAATCGGCAGTTGAAATCCGGCATGAAAGACATCACAGGCATGCGAAAGTAGAAGATCTTGTGCCTCCGCTCCAGTAATGACGTCCATTCCACTGACATGCTCAGGCAAGGAAACTGCCAGAGTGGTGCTCAGATGTTCTTCAACTCCTGGAGGATAGACAGTGATGATAGCCCCTTTACGTTCAGGATCACCTTGAATCAGGACGAGATCGGCATGATGTTGTTTGTGCGTCGTTTGGACGCGAACTTCTGGGGTCGCAATGGCAATGTTGAGCAACTCATCATTATGGATGTGGTCTGACCAGGAAGAAAGCACCTTACGATGCCATGTCAAGACATCCTCTGTCAAGTCAATGAATCGTGGTACTCGCCAGACTGGATGATGAGTATGATGAATGTACCATGTGCGCACACAATAATGTTCTCCCTCAGCAATCCTCAGGTGATTGTCACGCCAAAGATGCTGTAGATGATTCACATAGTTTGGTAGTTCTTGTGGCAATCTTCTGTCCAGAAAATGTCGATTCGATGATGATGTTGCATCCCGGGAACTAGATGCTTGAGACTTGCTGCCGCCGGTTGGGTCAATGGGGCAACTGCGTGGTGAATGCCAAAATTGTGATATTGGTTGTCCATCGTAATGCCGTACACTCTCCTGCGGGAACTGTTCAGGAGCGCCTTTCCCCTGAAAGGCCTGGGGCGATTCGGCAAAACGAACAACTTTGCAAGGCTGTTTCTCACGAACTTCAACATCAACGTCGCCACGTGTTGGTAGAACAAATTGGTCAATACGAAGCTTGGAGTCATAACCCATCTCACATGCTAAGTCTGACGCTGTTTCAATTGCACTCCACGGGGACATAAACGTTGGTTCACTGAGAATTGAATGGCTCCAGTGTAAAACCACTGCAAGAGGGCAGTGTACTGGCTCCGGCCATAGACGGTCGTACATACAAGTCACGCTCCGTCGGCCTTGCGAAAAGGCTGCAAAGAGGGCTGTCGCCCACCAGCCTTTGAGTCTCCTGGGTTCTCGTCGTCCCTTGTACGAGGTCTTTTGGGCTTCGGCTCCAGTTTGTCTGCTGAGTCCGAGAGCTCCGTGAGGCTGGAGACTACATTGTTCAATCCTTCCTGGATTTTCTGTGCGTTTTCGTCTCTTGGAATCTCTTCTTCTTCTCTGGCTTCTGAGTCTTCCATCTCGTCTTCCGTGATGAGGCTGATGTCCTCGTCCTTGTTCATAGCATCTGCTCGCTTCTTGGCAATGTCCACTCTCCTCTGCGTACGTCGCAGGTGCAGGGTGGCTTCTTGCATCTTGGACTGGAAAGCAGCTTCCGATGCTTGAAATTGAGACGTGTATTCTTTCCACTTGACCACGGATTGTTGCAAGAAAACTTTCCACTGAGACCAGAGTTGCATTCTTGATGATTCCACTTCCAAGAGGGCTTCTTTCGCCTTCCCATTTGCTCTGACCGCTGCCAACAAATTGTTGGTGCTCTCCTTGTCGTCTTTCTTCATCTCTGCGTGCACAAGAGACTGGAATTCCGAAGACAGATTGTCTTCTTTCTTGGCCGCCTTGACGATCTTGTTGAGCTTTTGTTGTGCACTGAGTGCCGCTTTCCGCTCTTCCGCTTCCTCCATTGCATCTGCTTCTGACTGTTGTGGCAGGAAATGCATGGACGGCATAGCAGGCATGTGTTGATGAAGCCATGGAACGCCTTGCGGTGACGGATAACCACTCATCATAGGCGGTGGCGGCGGCAATGGTGCTGGTGCAGGCATTGGAAGCTGCTGAAAGCTCTGTGGAGTTCCTTTTCCAAGCCCTTTGAGATCCCATCCAGGAGGCATTGGAGAGGACGTCTGCTGCATCTGAGGCCATTGAGTTGCACTTCCAGGCCAATATTGCCCTGCAGGCGAATTTGATGGCTGTGCCGAATCTTTCCATTTGTTTTTCCTCCTTGACGACTGTCTCCGCTGCCTTGGGCTCTTCGTCCTCGAAGCAGTGTTCGCAGTCTGCCAAGAATTCCACTGGTCTGCTTTCTGTCCACCCTGCTTGGCCGTAGGGACTGCACAGCTCTCCCAACTCTGACCACACAGGTCGCAGTACCAGGCGCTCGGCGAGCGCATTTTCTTGCAAAAGCCACAAAGCCACCCAGATGCCTGTGAGCTCGTCATCTCTCGATGGATCTTGCAAAGGAAGCCAAAGTCCTTGGAGTGATGGGACAGCAGTGTTCCAAGAACTTTCCTGAGTCTTGCAGAACTCAGCGGAGTCAGGCCTTTGCGATGGTCGTGCCAGGCACGACGTGCCTTGGCTCGGGACCTCCGCAGTGCTCGACGCTGAGTTGCTGTTGCCGTCGCCCTCGACAGAGAAGATCACAAAGGAGTAGACAAGGAAGAAGAGCCACCAGGCAGACATACACAACAGCCAGGAAAAAGACCGTGAAAAAGGTGCCAGCCCGATCACGATGCCAAAGTCCAGGTTGAAGGTGCAACAAAGGTGTTGCGGTCCAGCCCTGTGACCGCAGAGCACAAGAATGCAAAGGCCGCCAGCCGCAAAGGGAGCACGCGGATGGCAGCCCGCGGGTAGTGGTGGCGAAAACCCGCTAAGGTGACAGGAAGGGGGCGCTTACGGTCCCTCAGCCGAAACCTTGATATATATATATATATAGTTAACCTCTGGTAATTAAACATGGCAATTTGAAATTTCCTACAAATGAAGGTTTTAATAGTAAAATCATCTATGTATACATATATATATATATCCAGTGCCAAGTTTGCCTACCGGAGTGTATATCCATTAAAATCCAATTAGTATTCCAATATGTATATCCAATCCCATCCAATCAATGTCTTAATATTCCATTAAGAGTTAATTATATTACAATAGTATCTTAATATTCCATGTTGTATGATTATGATTCCATTGTATATATATATACATATATATATATGGAGGTTTCTTGAAATGAGGGTACCCCCAGTCATCAACAATTTTATTTTCGGAATTTCCATGAAATGAACCATCCAGCTATTGGGGATCCCCCATTGTAAGAAACCCCCATATAATATACATACTGATTGGTGGTTTGGAACATTTTTTAATTTCCCCTATATTGGGAAATATCATCCCAACTGACTAATATTTTTCAGAGGAGTTGAAACCACCAACCAGTATAATATACATAAAGTGTGTCTTCCCGAGATCATCCCTAACATGTTTAACACTTTCAGGCTCGAAAAAAATATCTGCGATTTATCATGAAAGAAATCCCATCGATCTGGGCATTTTAGAAAAAGGACCTCACCGTTCTCCCGAACCCTGGGAATCATGAGTTCATGAGAGGAATCATCCCAAAATGGCCCAAGATTTCAGCTATTTTCAGGTTCGTGAATTTATAATTCAGTCGGAATAAATCATGAAATTTAATGGCATTTGTTTCAGGTTAGTGAATGATGATAATTTGCTCAGATACATCATGTGACATGGATTGTAGCTTACAAGACATGGGGGTTCGATCGCCAGCAAAGTGATGTTCCAGCCCAGAGATTTTTATGGTTGTCTATGGGGGCTATACATTCCATAAATGGTTTGTTTATCATAACTGACTTACAACTTATAACCGGTATTGTGGGCCATAGCTCTATATCAGTGCATGACTGGGTAAAAACATATACCTTTTGGTAATAGAACATGGCAATTTGAAATCCCCTACACATGAAAATATTTATTCAGAATATAATATATATATATATATACATTGTATATAAGGAGTGTCCAATGCCACGATTGATTACTGGATGGTATATCATCCACCAAAATCTCCATTCATATTCCGGTATGTCCCATTGATATCTAAATATTCCATGCATACTCCAGAATCATCCCATGATTGTCCCATTCAAAAAATCATGAAAACTCACCGTTTCTGTTGGTGAAATCCCATTGAGATCCCAATTCAGATCCCATTATGATACATAAGATCCCATTATATCCCATATATCATCCTCAATTTATTATATTTATATAGTGCATATCACCCAGATCCATATAAATATTTCACTATAGATTATATATATATACACCCATAAATTTATCCACCACCGTATCCACGGGATTTATATAGTATATATATATATATACATATATTATTTTATGATAATCCACCATTAAAAAATGGGATTTATATACATATATATTTACTTTATATACATATATATTTACTCTATTATATAAATATACTATTTATATATCCACCATACAATACATATATATAATGTATTTATAAGGCCTTGATGGCCTTAATTCAGGTTAATTAATTATTATAATTTACCCAGATATAAATGGTGGATGATCACCCAGATCCATCCCAATTAACCTTCCTGAACGGTCAGGAAGTGCTCTGGAACACCCATGGTTGCGCGTCTCCAGGCAACGCGAGGTCGCTGGGCCATTGGAGACGGGTGTTATTTACGCTATAAATGGGTGATTTTCTATAGTTCTGTCAGATGTTTTTTTGGGAAAACCATCGGAAAACTATCGAAAAATGGTGATTTATAAGTTTTTCATAGGATTCATCATAGGAAATCGCATTTGTTTCTATGTTTCTAGGTGCATTTTCCAAGCCATTGGTCGATGTTGCGACCTCATGCAGCTGGACTGAAATGGATGGTGGGGCGAAATATCCCAAGTGAGCCATTAAAAATACCCTGGTTAATTGATTGCTATAGGGGATTATACTACCTGGTTTACTGGGGATTATGATAACCCATAGTAGGGAAACCTATCAACCAAGTAGTATAATCAGATGGGATAGGGGTATTTTGTATGGCTCAAATAGTTCAATTATGTAATTTCGATCACTAAGTATATAATTTATTTCTTAATGGATTATTTGATCCATGTCCATACCAAGTTGGTTTTGTTTTCAAATAGTTCAAAGATGTTCAACCTTAGAATGTAAGAATGGGATGATGATCTCCAATTTGACATTTTTTCTGGGGGTTGAAACTACGACCAGCACAATTTCCACAATATGGATCAACCACTACTGGTGGTTCGAAATATGAAATACCCTAGGGTAAACCAACATAGATGGGAAAACCCACCATGAATGTAGATCATTTTCCTGGAAAAAACCTTGGGCCCGCTAAGGAAGATGGGAGGCCTTAATTCAGGTTAGTGAAATATTATATTTTACCCAGATTTTTGTTAATTTTGGAAACACTTGGGTTTTAACATGTTTAAACATTATCACCATCTTGTCCTTTAGGGAAACCCAACGATTTTCAACGGGAACCATTGGTTGCTTCGGTGTCCGAGGGTGGAGCTCAAGGTAGCCGCCCAAGGGGTAAACATGCAAACTTCGAAACGTTCAGTGTAAGGTGGTACCCCCAAGTTATAAGCTGTTCCTGGACTATATATATATATTTATAGTTATATACATATTCAATATATATATATATATTATTGTGTTGATATATGATATTTATATATTTATATCCAAAATTTCTATGATTTATATAGTGTATGATATAATATATATATATATATATTTATTTAGATATAGATCTATCATTATCTATGCTAAACCCTAGTTATTGTAGTGGTAGTTATAGACCAACTTGGCTCACAGAGCAGTGCACCACCATGTATTAGATTCAACATGAACGACCTGGATCTAGTACAGTAGCATTTCATATATAGCATCTGGTTATTTGCAGGTTCACCGATGATAAGGTACCAAAACAAAGTAACCTGACACACACACACACATATCTGGGCAAATTATAACGACCTCGCTGTTCTCCCGAACCCTGGAATCATGGTTAATAAGAGGAATCATCCCAAAATGGCCCAACATTTCAGGTGAATAAATTATTATCATTTGCCCAGACATATGGTATACATGTATTGTTTTTTTTTCCATAGACAACAGACCGAGATTTCTTGGTTTCAAACGGATTCAACAGAACATAGCCTTGGATTCACAGTAGTAGCTGGCGAATATATAAACTTATCTAAGTGATGGTTAAAAACCCTGTTGTAACTACAGTTGTAGCCCTTTTCACAGTTCTAACTGGCGTAGAAACCTCATTTAAGTGATACTAGTTGCAGGAGTTATTTCATGGCCTGTTGAGGGCCATAACTCCGGAAGACTAATTTGAGCAGTCGCTGCGATCTACCCCAGTTGGTTGATTCTGAGTTCGGGGAATATACATTATTATACTAACCAATGTATATATTTATATAGATACATATATAGACATATTGTATAATGTATATTATATATATATACATATTAGTATGTAATATATATATACATATATATATATATATTATATATATATTAGATATGTTTGTATAATATATATATATATAGACATATATAATAATTCCATTATCATTTTTTACTCAACTGTATCATCTACGATTCGAAAAAGAGCATAGGATTTCCAGAAAAATCCCAGCCTGCCGTCCCGCCTGCACTGAGGAAACACTGGTTTTAGCCAAAGAAGAGGTTGTCGAAGGCAGCGCAGATGGTGTATCTTGGGGCACGACGCATGACGCATAGCCTGGGAGCAACCACCACAAGTTGGGATATGGATGGATATGGGGCTTTCACAGCCCCTATAACTATGGTTACTTAGAACTGAAACTTCACCCAATGGATCTAATGAGGTATGACTCGGAATGACCGGATATCATGGAACATCTAATGGGATTCAACCAACAAATGCCAACAGTATGAATTGGGCATGTCTCAAACACTATGATGATGATGATGATGATGATGAAGATGATGAAGATGATGATGCTGATGGTAAAACACTGAATTTTATGAATGTTCTTCATGTTCAGTCAAAGCCAT